CGCAACTATGTAATGAATGGCTATCATCGTTAGGGCCAGAACATGCAATTGGCTACTTTAAACATGTGGAAAAACATGAAGAAATATTCAAAACTGCAGATAGACTTGCTGAAGAACTGGACAATGAAATTATTGATAGTGACGATGGGAGTGACAACAATGAGTTAGATGATGATGATCCAAACAGTGATTGACCGAATTTGATTTTGTTTATAAATAACTATTTCTACTTCTATTCTTGTTTTCTGTTACAAAGAACGTGTCAGAATGAATAAAAGTGTGATTTTGTGCGGTAGACATACATTCTAAGGATGTTGGGACACTAACAGAGAGACAAATTTTGCTTTTGCAAGGAAATAAACATCGCCATGATGTTCAGCGTAGTCGATAACCTATGTTCCCATGTGTTTTTGAGTTTCCCAAACCTTCAGGTTAGGAGATAGATGTGTCCTCGGAAATCCGGCTTTCTAGGCCGAACCAAGCAAAAGTAAGAATTCACTTAGATCCAAACATTTAGAAGACATGTTGGGCTGTATATCTATGAAAAAAATCGGTATATCATTACGTGAGGTTCCAGAGATATGAAGAGGTTTTCCAAAGATCCGCTGAAAAACCTATCTTCGAAATTTTTCGACCTCGATTTTCGCCTGTGAAAAGATTGGGAAAATAGTCCTCTTTCCATTAGTGAAAACCGCAACTCTCTATCTATCATCATCTTCGAGTTATTAAAGAAACGGCAACCTGCATTATATTTTGGTACGGATACTAGTTCTGATGTATTTTGAGTCTGTTATCAATTTTTTAATATCAGCAGAAAACAGTCGGAAAAGACTAGTTTTCATAAAACTTAGGTTAACTTAGGTAAAACTTAGGTCGCTAGGTTCCAAAATTTTTTCCTAAAAACAGACATTGCCACGCAACTCAGCATAATACATTATAGGTATAATACATTCACTGTTGCATTATTCATCGACTTCCCACAAGGTTTTGATATGAACTGGCAACGGGAATTAATTTAGAAATCATATATATTGCATATTAATACATATATTACAATGCTCACGTCCATATTTATATTGGATCATGAACTATTTTAAAGAGCGGACTGTGAGTAGTGATTTCGATGACCAATTATCCGGAGAAATCGAAAACGGGCTCCTCAAGGAAGCGTATTTGGACCTAAAGCGGATATTGTTGAACATTACAACCTTCAGCCACCTTTTTTCGACACACTATTAGACATGTGTCATTTTGACTGATGATGTATGAAGAAAGAAACGTCTCGATAAAGTTGTCTACTATTAAGCAGATTGGGGCCGATCCAAAAGCAGTCGACAAATGATAACTGTAGACGTCTGGATTAATTTTCCAGTACGAACAGAATCCAAGAATGGAAATAAATATGTTGTTGTTCTTACCAATAATTTATCGAAATATGTTATAGTCAAAGCATCACCGAACGACACTGTTTACTGCCCGCATTATCTACCATCAGGATCCAATATGCTTTGGTCCTAATCGAAGGCGTATGGAGGTTTTTAAAATATTTTCTGAAAACCTTGAAAAGCTGAGTTTCCGAAAAACTTTTAGTTTCCAATAAAAAAAGAAATACAAAAATACTTTCAATAACACAAGGAAATAGAGCAAACATTTGTGCTTAAAATGAAATATCTCCGAGCTCTGAATGATGTTCTAATCAAGAGTAGGAAGAGTTTTGCTGGAAGCCCTAAAACATGCATCGGATAGTGGCGTCACCATACCTCGAAAGCGACTTTCATCTTAACACCATTTGGTAGTTGCAAGATTTCTCGGTAACGAATAGCGGCGTAGCCAGGATTTCTCAACAGGGTAGGCTCAGCCCTGCTATTTTTCAGAAACCCAGGAACGGCGGTGGTGTGAGTTTTCTCTAGCCTGTAGCAAAATCCAAACATATTTGAGACGTGTGAGAAGAAACGAATAAAGCAGAATGAAAGAAAAATACTGGTTGAACGAGAGGGGAGCTGACAAGAACACATATTTAAAAAATCGAATAGAGATGTACCAACTAGTACTTAATAACCTAGCGGACGACATATTGCAAAGAGAAAAGACACAGTGAATGGACACGGTAGTTGATATCATATGAAAAGAGACTATGAAGAACATACGAGAAAAGAGCGTGAGAAGAATGAAAAACAGACACGAAATATAGTGAGTAGAACATGTGATTAGAGGACGTAGAGAATATATGAGAACAAGAAAAGACGCCGAATATAGGGAACAATGAGAGATAAGAGAGGGCACGGAGAATGAGATACAGGTATCTAAAAATAACAATAAGTAGCCGCTGCAGAATTGACTACTGATGTGATATCTTTCATATCTTATATCACAAGTTTTCTTCAGACACCTAAAAAATGTTTCCGGATAAACTCAAATATCTTGAGGGTGGGCTCAAACAGTGTTTGGGTGGGCTTAGTCCACCTGTGGCTACGCCACTAGCAACGAAACATTGCAGACAGATTTAGAAGGTCGTAAATTGATGCTGACACATATGGTTAGAGGCTGATAGAGCAGTATTTTTGATATTTGGTCCAGATTCGTGATCAGAAAACATGTTTTGTGCAAGTTAATGAGACTTGTACGAATTGTGGACTTTTGACGCTGATCCTTAATTTGAACAGTAAAATATAAAAAATCTGGCTCTATTGGCATCTAGCCATATCTGTTTTCATCAACTTAAGACCAGCGCTAGCTCTCTGTAATGTTTCCTTACTGAGAAATCTTGCAGCTACGAATGGACACATTTTGTTCACTGTTGTGGTGATATTTCACAAAACATGCTAGGACCCAAGAATTCACACACTTTGTCAAATATGGACGTTGTTTATCTATATTTTTTACATTATGACATATGTTACGTGTATGACTGGTACGATGCATTTTACATATATAAGGTTGTGAATGGTGAATGAATGTACTATAACGTGTTTTTTAAATTCAATGTTGGTTTAGTTGCATTTTTTGAACAATTCTTCCAAGCGTGCATCAAAATACAATTGCACAGAACGGGCATTGTCTTAGGTCCCTACTGGCGGCGTCCATTCTAAATTTCTAATTTTTTTTAGCATCTGGAACCAATGCAGAAGTAATACGAAAACCTGTTCCCTTAAATTTAATTCTATGCAATCAATAAGTATTTGGTGGTAGAAGTTCATTTTCGACTGCATTGACTTCATCTGTCTGAATATCACCAGGATCAATACCGCCATCATTCGTATCAGTTTGATAAATATTGATTTTAAAAGCTGTGTCAGCAAATTCAGACTTGATTTATTTTAAATTTTTCTTTTCGCATGATACTCTATTCCCACTACCCATTTATATTTTTCCTAAATAAAATTGCAAGACGAACAATGGCAGCAATTTAGAATTGAAAGAACAAAGAAAACCTTGAATTTATCTAGTTCATTACTAGTACATCACTGACCTTCTGATACCCGTCGCTGACGAATGCAAATAAACGCGTTTTTCCGAATGAACAATTACAGTACAATTTATGATTTGCCCAGAATCGAATAAAACATTGTTGTATATTTGTGTGTTACTGTAAGCCACACAAAAACTCCCAAATCTCGAATGTCTGAATAAGATACCATACGTTAAACTAATACTCAAATGCTTCTCGTATCCATAATCACCACTGAAATACAAATAATTTTGTCCCAAAATTGATTCATGTTCAAAGTTAATTCTATCCAACGTTTGTTCCAAATTATAAATACTTAATGATGACAAAAAGATTCTTCAAACACCTGTAAGATCTTGTTTAAGCATAATGGATCATTCTCTATCATAGAGTGTTCAAATAATATAAAAGTGATAGTTGCTCAGTAGAATTTTTTCAAATAATGTGAATGGCGGAAAGTTCGTTCCCCGAACCAGTAATTGCTACTCATTTTTCTGTTTGAACTGTCGTCAATAAAAACAAGTAGAAACAAACAATTCGAACAAACAACGTTTTCTTTTTCCGGAAAAATGACAAATCGTAGATTCTAGCAAATTTATCTGCAAACATAATATTTGTTTAACGGACATGCATAGGCTATATATCTATTTTCAAATGACTTGGAGATAAATGTTTCCAACTACTGGTTTGATTCAGAATTAACTTTTATTACAAATATTCTTCTTCTTTAAGTTATAAAAAAATCAATTAACTGCATTAATTTCTTTACTTTGTGACAATAAGATAACAACATTGTATTATCTACATACAACCGTTTGATTTTCAATAAGAATTACCTGAAAAGTAACGATACAAGAGATACATTCGCACATTTTTTCGAGACTAAAACCGTACAAGTCTAAAGGTCAGATTCCTTAAATGTTTGTAAAGATCCCTGTAGAGGATGAACACTAGTGATTAGAACAGCCACGGGTTCGGTCAGCATCAGCGGCCATCATTTAGTATAACATCTACAGCCTCCAATATTTGGATCATCACACCGTCCTCCAAATCATACACCGTACAAACTTGTTTTTGATCGAAAACCGCGTTATTCATTTGATCCACCAAAAGTATCAATCACATTTACGATACAAAATATTTACCGGCTTGAGATAAACTCGCATGAGAATCTGATCAGCTAATTAGTTCAACAAAATATTCTACATCACCAAACAATTATCCGAGCACCGATATGATCACAATCGCCAAGGTTCAATCTACAATATCAACGACAATATTATGTATTAACAAGTTCATGTTAGTCAATTGAAACCTGTTAAAGAATAAATCTTCTCCAATTCGCTATAATTCTAACCGACGTTAGTGCAATCTTATGATAGTGGTAGCATCTTGATTACTAAGCACACCAACAACAGACAGATAGAACTTCAAAAAAGTTTTTTGGTTTCGTTATACTTTTATGCTATTAATTGAGCCCAGATCAATTTTTTCCGGAGGGGTTATTATATAAGGATTGTAAATCCCTCCTTTGGTATATTCGTTGTCACACATGCCACTCCTTTCTTCGATAGGTGTCGCACTTTGCCGGGGACATATGACACATATTGAGATACGAAAGACCGCATCCCAAGAGAAACAATAGAGTCACAGGAATGTGAACCAGTTCAAAATTCAAAAAAGCAAAAAAGTGGATGTTTTTGTATATATAGAGCAACTCGGCGTGGCCAGCTAACGGTCCCCTTC